TGCAATGACTATTAAGGAAAAAGGGAGAGGTTAGTAAATTCACAAAATGAATCAGTTGTTTCAATTGGTCACCAGCTAATGCACAAAACACTGCAACTTTGACAAATTGGAAAAAAGTGAAGGGAATAATAACAATAAAGCTAACCCTCAAATCTACACCCGTGTTTTAATAGCCATGACCACCGACAGCCTGATTGTAACAGAAACTCCAGTTGAAAACAGAACTGTCAGTTACTAAAACAAATACCACCACTGTTCTCCACAAGATTTTTACTTACAAGATTAAAGAAATTCTCCCCCCCAGCTTTTTTTTTTAAGCAAAATTGTCTGATGATACTACAACACATAGGAGCTCATGAGAAACTCCACTGTACTATTGTAATAACTGAAAGTTGACTTCTAGCCTAATCAGTATTGCTTCATCTGACTGGCAGAGGGTCTTTATGGTTTTAAATGAACGAAAATATTTTGTAACAGTGGTAGCCTGATCCATTTTGATCTGGAGACTAAATCCGAGTCTTTTTTATGTAAAATGTGCACTCTAAATGAGCTATGCTTATATTCCCATATATTCCCATTCAGTGATCATGATCTATTGGTACAGAGAACGGTTGTTAAGGAATATAGTTATTAAGCAGCGAAACTCTGAACCTAAAGTTAATAGTATGAAATCCTCCAATAATTCTCCCCAAATTGCTATAGTAATGAAGGCTGTGCAGATCTCTGAAGAGGTGTTTCACTTCAACAATGTCACACTTCTAGCCAGTAAAGCAGCCATAGGCTTTGCTTGTAACTCTCACGTCAACCTTTATCAAGATTGATCAGCCAGCAGGAAACTTCTATAGTTCAGTAAATGAAATTAGGTAGTAGACAGCAGTTAAATCAGACTCGTGAGATTACACTGGCAAAGTATTCACAATTTATGATATCAAGAAGAACTTTCCCCCCCCCTTATAAATTAAAACTGGAAGATTTGTTTTTAAATTCAGAAAGGCAGGAAAAAAAAATCTGTTCCCTTGATCAACTCCCAAACCATTCTGTCACTGGAGTACTATTATTGCTAATGTGGCATAATCCAGTTTTGATGAGCTGGTTTTGGTATGCCCTGGCTCCCTTTCTTCAGATGATGTTCCTATTCATATAAGGTCAGCAAGCCAAATATATTGCAAGTAGGCACACCAATCAAAGGAAATAGAAAGCAGCCATAATCTCGGAGAGATATTAACTTCTAGTTTTCAGAAAAAGCATCCCCTATCTCAGTGTTTTCAAACTTGCCAAATTAAGATGTGTGGACTTCAACCTCCAGAATTCCTCAGGCAGAATGCTGGCTGAAGAATTGTGGGAGCTGAAGTTCACACATCTTGACAGGTTGACAGGTTTGAAAAGCACTGCTCTATCAGAAGGATTCACAACAAATGTTCTTCTAATCAGAGCTGAGCTTTTCAGCCAGATCTACCATGCTGGTCAAGCATTATTTATTTATTATTTATTAATTTTATTTATTGCTGAAAGTACACTAGATTTTTAGGTAAAAGTAAAAGTTTTACTTTTACTTTACTTTTTACTTTAGTAAAAAGTAAAAGTCTAAGGTCACTTTTAAGAGACCCAGTCAGGCTCCTATCACAAAAAGTTAAAAATATCCGCTCTCACAATGATCATGTTATACTTGGCATGCTAAGTGTTGATTTGAGGGTGTAAGGCCAATTTTAGAGTGAGATGGTTTACCCTTTTGGCATCAGGGCGACGAATCTAATTTACTTCAGTAATTCTATTTGACTATGCAAGTATATCAAGTCTGAAGTTTTTGAAAGCAAATGAAGGCAGCACTGGCTATGATGGAAGCCATACTTTTGTTCGTACTGTCCTTCCTCTGATTAGAACTGCCATTCCCATCATCTTTTCTAAAGCCTTTGAATGGAGAACATTTAATAGAAGAGAAAGAACGTGTCTTTGGCAACTTTCTTCCAATAACTGGAATGTAAGAACAGCAAATCCACTGCAGATAAACCCAGGAAATACCAAGATTTGTGATTTTCCTCCATTGCCTTTGAATGCTTCTCTAACAAATAACATTTGTTGTTTTCTTGGAAGGAATATAGTAAAGCCTCTCAAGCTTTTACATTCCTATGCAGAGACACCAGTAAAGTACAAGCGAATGGCCCAGCTTCACTTCAGAGAGCTATCTGGATTCCCAACTGCTGGAGTCAACTAGGACTGTGCCATGGTGTCCCACCATGATGCTGCCAATTGATATGTTGAGGTGGATTGTTTGCTTTGATGGAAATCCCCTTTTTGCACATGCACAAAAAATATTATCAAACTCCAATGCAACAACTGTCTCGACTAGCAAATCTGTTGTGACCACTTGGACATTTTATGTTGTGAACTGGTATCAAGGAGCACTTAACAGAATGCCAACTGAAGTAGCTGTTTATTCTATAAACCCTGAAATCATTTTAATTGCATTACATATGGATTTTGCAAACCTTATTTCATTATGTTCATAATCACCTGAAAAACTAATGCAAAAATTACTAAGCAAATTATCAAAGGGAAGACTTAGCAGTGTAATAGTTCTGCCTATCTATCTGGAGAATGAAACTGAGATTGTCTGTTATATTTGAATATGCATTTGAAACTTGATCTTTTAGGAATAGGTACAGAACCCGATCTATGAAAAGACACAGACTTAAAGGATTTTCTGCCAAAATCTATTCTATGTCCATTTACAAAATACTTGCAACATAACTTCATTTGCTCTGTTTCAACTTGTTACTGAATTATATCCAGGAAGGTGACAGCATAGCAACTCTGTGATTTACTCCCCAGCTGCCAGTGTCATATGCAAAGTGACATTTTTAATTACATACAACAAATAAAAGCTTGGAAAAGAATAGCCTATAAAATCTATTGAAGTTTTAAATCAAGTTACATAAATGCTTTGCTGTAAAAACCAAGAAACAATGCAGACAAGCTAACCTAGCAGCTAAAATTCAATTTGATTAGGACACCAACTCAGTGTCAACTCTTAGCAATCAGAAAAATAGATTTGGCTATTTTTGTCCCCAATCTAGTTCTTCAGGCTCCTAATGTTGTGCCCACTGCCACTGTAAGCGAGGCCATCTATCTTGATGTTTCTTGCTGCCTTCTGGTCTTTTCTTCCATCTTTCCCAGCATTATAGTTTTATCTAAAGAATCAGTCTTTATATAATGTGAATGAAGTATGATAATTTGAGGTTGCTCATTTCTGCCTTCAATGAGAGTTCTGGATTCATTTGTTTAGTTATTAATTTGTTTGTTTTCTTGGCTATCCATACTTTTGAGTCAGAAATGTTCAACCTTTCGCCCCCAAAGTGTTAAAAAACTATTTTCTTGCATCAGTCATCTACTTGACAGAAAACATTGCATGCTAGTTTTTGATCCATTCAACTCAGATTTTCATCTTAATTCAACCTGCAGCAGAACATAAGCGGGAGTTCAATTTCTCAAACCTGGTTCAAATGGTGCCTCCGTTTATTTTTTTATAACAATTTTATTTCAAATTACAATTAAAACTAATACAAATAAAAAATACAACGAATAATAGAAGGTTCAGAAAAGAAAAATGGGGGGGGGGGAGAATATAGCAAAGAAAAAAAATTAAAAGCAATGACTTTCCCCTTCATTACAAATATAATTTTAGTAACTTATCGCATTTTTCTTAAAATGCAGCTAATGATCTCTTTTCCCCATATCCTCTCTTTTATAAACAGATCCATAAAAAGTCATCATTTTAATCCAGATATCAGCAAAAATTCCCTAAGTGTTGCCAGAGATAACAACATATCAATTTTAATCTTAATCAAATAAAGCAACTTTATTATTTTACTTAACCATCTTGATCTTTAGTCCCTTCTGATAATTTCCTAGAACTGATTTATTTTCATTTTCTACTTTGTCCCTTCTCACAAAATTCTTCAAGCTTTAACAAGTCTCTTTTGTAAATCCAATACATGTCCTCTCTTTGTCTGGAGAGGGATCATTGAAGACCCAGTCTACTCACTCTACTTTTTATGAAACTGTCTTCAGTCCGCCATTTCTTCCCTGGAAGTCCCAATATCTTTGTGTTTAGATCACAGTATACAAGAAGTGATATGCAATCCCTCTCGCCTCTGAGTTGTGCTTGATATCAGTAAGAATTGTGGATGTGCCACTGCTCTTTGCAACAGAAAGCCTTTGGATGCATATGATAGCTTTCTCATGAATTGGAACTCTATTTGCTGCTTATCAAACAGAATCTAGAATTTTAGAGTTAGAAGGATTCTCAAAAGTAATTTAATCCAACCTTGTTGCAAGATCTACTAAAACATTTCTGAAATGCTGAATTTTACATGAGAATGTTTTATCTGAATAGATGTTAACCATAGAAGTGAAAGAGTACCTGAATGCAACTGTGTTTCTCTTTAGTTTATAAAAACACCCTAGAAAGCTAGGATTAATTATACTAACTTGGGAAATTCTTGGGAAATAAGGGTTTTATAAGAAGCTGGAAAAATAAGCCTTATTTAAACCATGGTTTCGTAACTTGGCATTTTTATATTTCTAGGATCAGCTATAATTTTTTGACTTACTTTTCCATTTAGCTGAGAGGGCAGGAAAAGTCTTTGTGATGAGCTGGATGAAGATATTTTATCCCTAAGGGAAGAAAATGAGGATACTTTGCAAGTTTAGAAAAAATAATTGGTAAGTAACTAAGGAAAAGCAGTTCTCTAAGCTTAGGACATTTGAGACTTGAGAGGTGTGCCCAGTTCAGCTGTCTTTTATTAGGATCCCTACTGGATTTGTTCTTACCTCTATAAGTAACTTCACTTACTAAAGAAAGAAAGAACAAATCAGAGAGATACTGATTTCTGAAACATGAGTGGAACTTCAAATCCTTACAAAAATTAGCTTCTATCTTTTCAATATAATTTAGACTACTAGTAGATTTAGACTACTAAAAATAAGAAAGAACACAATACCTGGCAGGAGCTGTTGGATAAATGACTTTTATATGTTGGAAAGACAAATCTTGCTTCAAAACCTGCTTGATCCAGTCTCTTACCCCTTGACCAGTATCACCTGAATAACACAGACAGATAGAACTGAATTAGACATCTATACAACGGAGCAATGTGAACTGTCTTATGAACCTGTCTTATGAATAAGAGCCTGGTGGCGCAGCAGACTAATAGCCTGTTATTAACATTCAGCTGCCTGCAATTACTGCAAGTTCGAATCTCCCCAGGCTCAAGGTTGACTCAGCCTTCCATCCTTTCTAAGGTAGGTAAATTGAGGACCCAGTTTGTGGGGGCAATAAGCTGACTTTGTATAAATATACAAAAGTATGAAGGCTATTGCTTAACGCATTGTAAGCCGCCCTGACTCTCCGGAGAAGGGTGGGATATAAATCAAATTAAAATTAAAAAAAAATAAAAAATGAACCTCAGAATTCATCTTGTACAATTTTCTCTTTTCAAACTTCATTTTAGAAAAGATACAGCTGGTTGCTTATAGAAAGCCTAATGGGCAACTGGTTTCCAAACATCAACAATAAATAAAAAGGTAGTCCTTGATTAAGTGTTGTACCTTATGATTCTTGATGAACGTATCTTTTATGTACACTGCGAGCACATGCACTAAGACAATTCCTTGTGTGTCTAATCACACTTGACCAATAAAAAATTCTATTCTATTCTATTCTATTCTATTTTATTCTATTCTATTTACAATGTAATGGAGCTTGCCCATTATGGTAAATGATAGCAGTCTCATGTAAAATGAGACTTATGACCATTTTTGTGCGGGGTCGTTATGTGAATCACTGCAGTTGCTACACATTCCTGATGTTGTTAAGTGAACCCATTATTTACCATGGGGCCTTTTTGCCAAAAACTGGAAGAAAATGCTGTAAATTGTGGTCATATGACCACAGGACCCTGCAAATGCAAGCCAGATGCCAGGTCCCCAGAATGTGTGGATAGTCTTTGAAACTGAGTTATAAATACCTTTGGAAGGATCTGTCATAAGTTTGAACAGTCATGAAACAACTGATTATAAGTCAAGGCCTGTACCCATCTCCACTAAGGAAGTCCCTGCCCTACTCAGTGCAAGAATCCAACTTTTTGTAGAGTTCTTGTCTCTGCTTGAATGCATCCAATGAAGGAGCACATGCTACTTCTCTGATAGCTGGTTGATTCAACAACCAAACTGATGTTATTGTTTAGAATTTTTCTCTTAACATTTAACTGGAATTTTCTTTCTGTAACAATTCCACGATTTATACTCTGAAGTGATAGATAGCAGATCTTGTCCTTCTACTATGGGAGAGATAATTGAATATTCCATTTATATTTCAACATGATACACAGAACTAGACCAATTGGTTTGACCAATACATCATAAACTACAATTTCTTGTAAGGTGGACCCCCTGCTTTGGTTGACACAGCCCTACATCAGTGCAACCCTCAAACTCTGCTATTTTTAAAAAGAAAATGCCAATCAACAAATGGCTGATCTTAATTATGATAGGTCTGGCTCTCTTAAAGGAAAAGGTAACTATTGATATTACTTTTTACTGTAAAAGGGAAAACCTGAAAATTCCAATACTTGAATAGCAAATACAGATTTTTAAAGAGTTCTCCAAATTATTGTGGATAAAGGGGGAACAGTTCCATATTGTTATTAGTGACAATAGAGGTTTATAGCATATGTCAATCATATGACAATGACAATGAGGGTGAGTATCTTGAGCAGAGCATAAACAAGACAACTGGAGTGTTAGCTAGGGGGAAACTGCCAGCAGCCTCGATTATGGTGAGCATAATTTAAATCAATCATTTTTCTAAGCAACAAGCATTGCTATTGCTACAGCTTAACACTAGTGCTTCTTATTTTCAGCTACTCTGCTCTGTGGAGATATGTTTAAGGTGAATTACAGGGTGTTTACCCTGGAGCAGCTAGTCAACCTATGACCCCAACTGAATTTGTTGCTAAGCAACACAGTTAAGTGAGTTGCACCCCATTTTGCAACTTTTTGCCACAGTTAAGCAAATCACTGCAGTTGCTGAGTGAATCTGGCTTCTCCCAGTGATTTTGCTGGTTGGAAATTGGTTGGGTAGGTTACAAATGGCGATCACATGACCTCAAGACAGTGCAACAGTCATAAATACATACCAGTTGCCAAGCATCCAAATTTTCATTGTGTGATGATGGGGATGCTGCAGTTGTTAAGCGTAAAAACCAGTCCTAAGTCATTTTTTTCAGTGCCAGTGTCACTTAGGTCAGTAAATGAATGGCTGTAAGTCAAAGACTATTTGTATCTGCATGATTGTAACAATTTGTAAAAGGAAAGCCACAAATATGTAGGCATCTGTACAGCTGCCTATGCAAATAGGGGTATCATATGAATGGTCTTTCCATACATTAATCTATTTGATGTCAAAAAGCACTGGGCACACGAAAGGTACACATCTGTATGAACTGGATCAGATATAAAAACACTCCAGAACACACAAGACCCCTGCACTACGTTGCACATGTCTGAACAGAGTTTACACTACCCTCAGAATCAGAACAGAGCTGAAAGGGACCTTGGAGGTCTTCTAGTCCAGCCCCTGCTCAAGCAGGAGATCCTATACCATTTCAGACAAGTGGCTGTCCAGTCTCTTCTTAAAAACCTCCAGTGATGAAACACCCACAACTTTCGAAGGCAGGTGATTCCACTGGTTAATTGTCCTCACTGTTAGGAAGTTTCTCCTTAATTCCAGGTTGCTTCTCTCCCTGATTAGTTTCCAACCATTATTTCTTGTCCTGCCTTCTGTTGCTTTGGAAAATAAATTGACTCCCCCCCCCTTTGTGGCAGCCTCTCAAAAACTGGAATACTGCTATCATGTGCCCCCTTAGTCCTTCTTTTCTCTAGACTAGCCAAACCCAAATCCTGCAACCATTCTTCATACATCAGCAATAACCTGCTGTTAGATTGGCAACTGCGCTGTCAGTTGCCAATGAACAACTGTGATTGTATTCATTTAGAATTATGCCATTCTGAACAATTAACGCCCCATTACGAGGAACGGTGGAATTACGAGGCAGTTTTTTAAGAAAGGAAGAAAAATAGAGCAATAAACATCCTCCCGGGGCAGCCTTTCCCCTAAGTACCTCTCTGGGAGGGTTCACACATTGGGGGTTTACTGAACAAACCACGAGGGTTTTTGTCCCCTTCCACACGCAAGTCCTGTAAACCAAAACGATGCGAACCGCGTCACGGGCTTAATGCACGCGTGGACCTCTTTCGGCGAAAAGGCCCCACGAGCTAGCCCAGAGATTGTCGCCCCCAGCAGACCATCTTGGGATCGGGAGCCTCCACCTGAGCCATGGAGAAAGATCACAGAAGCCGTGTGTCTCCCTGCCGGGCCCACCGCTACCAGGCTCTTCTGCAACGCCGTCTGAACAGCCATATCGCCTATTTCCTTCCCCAGGCCGAAGGGGGGAGGGGGGTAGTGTAGAAAAAGCAAAAGCAACCAGGCCGCCGCTTAGGGCGCAGCCGCGCTTGGGAGGCGCACGGAGCTTCTGGCAGCAAAGCTCCGCCTCCCACCAGTTCAGCGAAAGTGGCTCGGGTGCGCGGAGCGGAGGATCTGTTGTTCGTTTGGATGAGAGGAGGTGGGAAGAGGTGCTGTGGTGCTCCAGGCGATGCCGTGTTAAACCGATTTCAAGCCTTTGAAATAGGTGGCTGTGAACGCGCTAAATGATACGAGTTGGCATTTTCAAGGGGAAACGCCAAGAGAAAAGGGCGCAAAGTCTGTTAAAGAAAATAACGCTGTATTTTGAAGAGAATGACACCTGCTTGGTCACAGGTATCTTTTACCTGTGTTTTTCCGCCCTCAGTTTTTGCAAGAACCCACTGTCTGATAATCAGCGCAGTTCTAAACATTCATTATTCCTAATCCAAAATAAAGGTTGCATTTACCAGCCACGTTTACTACATGGAGAGAGTTAGTTACGTTGCATTCACAGGAATCCGATCCTGAGTAAACCTGGTGTAGAATCGTGCAACAATCGAGCGTTGAGAGGGCTGGGGGGGTGGGGATAAGAAAACGGGAAGATAGGAATTGGTTATAGAAGCGGGTATTAAGTTATTTTAGGGTAATGTTAATAGGATTGAATTTATACAGATTCCCATAGACATAGGAACTTGGTGATTATGTGGGTCTACAGTATTTCTTCCTTTTGTGACCAGAATGCAGATATTTCTCCCAGCACTTGCATCTAAGTCCTGTAGAGGTGTGCCCAAGCTGTAACTTTTCTTCTGTGTCCCTGTGATGTTTCATCTGCTCCCTAGTCAGCCCCTACTTAAGCCATCCTTTGCTGCAACAGTGTTAAAATTATGTTTCCCTCTCCTCTTGACACAGCTACTGCCATGAATGCAATCAGATACATCTCACATCCTACCAACCCAAGGGTGTGGTGTGGAACCAGCACAGTTGGGTTTGTCGAAGAGTCTGCTTTTATGCCAGGGCTTGGCTGTCTAGTTGACTGGGGAATTCTGGGAACTAAAGTACACAGATCTTAAAATTGTCAAAGTTGGACACTCCTGTTTTATGCCTTCCAAGATAGCTTGCTGCTATCAGAAGTAGTGGAGGATGGTGTCCCATGGCCAATAAAACTCAATATTCCTTCTGGTCCAAGGTCTATGCAGATAGTCCTATCAGACAGCAAAATGTCCTGGCTATTTTCACAGTTGCCTGGTGCTGTCCATAATCCTTCCTTCTTTCTCAAACTTTCCTTGGCAACTCCTCAGATCTCCTTAGGAAGGCCTGGTGCTCATTTTGAGTATTGCTGCAATTTGTAGGAGGCATTTTAATCTCCCGCATATGTGGATAAATTCAGTAAACACAGTGAAGTAAACAATTATCCTTCCCTCCCCAATTTTATATTGCTGGGGTCTCATATTTATAGCTTCCATGTTTTGCCTAATAAAGATATAAAGTGGTGCATTTTTCTCTCCAGTTTATATTCTGCCATAATAGTAGCTTCCCATCTCACCCCTGCCCCCTGCCTCATTTTTCATCACTTATTAGTTCAGCTCTCCAGCTGTTCAGCATCACTACTGGGTGTAAAGGCATAATTCTGATGAGTTTACTTTGGTCCAGATTTATGGCATGTCACATAGGTAAACAAGTGTCTTATTCACATTTCCATTACAATACTTACTTTTGCATGACAACATCTGTCCACACAGCACTAACAGGCATTGAAAATGGAGTATTTTTGCCAGGTTAAAATGATGTTTGGGACTGCTTGCTTATAATTGGAACAAACTGACTGTCAACAAGAGGAAAATCAAATATATTGGCTGAAGCATCAAATTCCTTGTTAACATCAGGCGTGACATCTCTTCCATAGAAAAAAGTCTTTGCATGATTTTATTTAAAAGTGAAATAGGTTGTAGATAAAAGCTTCTAGAACAGTCTGTCAGAGAACACATTATGCCATACATTATGGTTAGCCTCATTTGCAGTCACTACACTCCTGTGTAATAGGTCATGTTGTAAGGTAACCCAAGCCAAATTTGATTCCTAGAGTCCTAGGCAATATTGTATTTCTACCATGTCTTCTTGACATTTGCATATATGAAGATGCATGTGCACCCACAATGCACTTTGAGGTAGCTTGGTCTAGGACATCCATTAGCAACATCAATTATATCCTTAGTTTGTTGAAGTTTAAAATTTTTAAATTTTATATTTGTGGGTTTTATGCTGGCTGAGTCCCTTTGGGAGAAGGGCGCTATATAAATTAAATTAAAAGAAAAAAAAAGGAAAAGAAAGTATTTTCTTCTGTATGTATTAATCACTTACAATCCAAGTATACCTCACCACATGACCCAAATTGGATAGTGAACCACATCCTCAGTTCAGCAGCTGATTTCCTAGAGAAATCACAGTCAACAGATTCAGAAATTCTGAGACAAATGCTCTGATGTTTTCTGTTACTATCAAATATGTGGCTGTTGGTACACGTGATCAATTGATGTGTCAGTGCAACAAGGTTTGGCTATCTCTCTTCCCTCCATTCACATATGCACTGAATGGATAGAGAATGGTTATCTGAATGGAGTCTAGTATTGTTCTGCAATATATCTGGTGGTTGGTATTATAAAGAAGACCAGTTATGCCTCTTTTGCTGCAGTCCTTTAAAAAGAGATAGTCTCCTTGGCAGATTTAGAACTCTGAACTATCATGCAATGATGTTGCTGAAGGACAGCTGGGTCAGGGCCACTTCAGATTTGGTTTATGTGATTTCCTATGAGTCACAGTATTTTGGAATGGGAATATAAACAAAAATCCACAGCCCAGAAAAATAATAGAATACATTTTAAATGGCTTCTCTGGAGACTTCTCACATTCCATCCCCTTTGTTCCAAGAACCAATTTAACATTCATTCTCTTATGAGAAAATCTGGCTTTGAAAGGTTTCTCACATTTTTATTGATATAATGGACTCAGGAAAATTCCTCAGGAACTTTTTTCCCTTTTTAAAATAAATGCAGATAGATGATTTCTGTTAACTTTGGTTAGCAACACTCTGGAATAACTTTCATAAATCAAAGATAAGCCTTTTCTTAATACCACTTAAATTTGGTTGTGGGAAAATAAAGTCAGTTGACCTTTGTAGAGGTTATCTGGTAACTGTTTATTAAGAAGTAATTTCAATAGTTCAGAAGGTTTTTCTCAATAGAAGTTAAGGCAAATAATGCCACTGTCATTAAAAAATCATTGGATGACAATACCTTCAAAGAACTGTAAACTCATGAATGGATTTCATTATCTCCTGTGCCCATTCTAAACATCGCATGTATCACTTTGATTCCACCAAAGTGGATTCCTCTTAGTCCTAGCCTACACTAATTCTGTTTCCCTTGGAGGTACAGAACATCAACTGCTTTTCTTTCCCACAATTCGGCCTGGTTTCATTTGGATGTAATGGACAGATGTCACCAACCATCATGAGAGAATCGTCCATTAGGTATACTAATCTACAATTCTTGGAGATGTAGTTCATCACTTCTAATGGGTTTCCAACCTTATTGAAGACTACAGTAATGTTAGCTGCCTGTACATGTCTTGCTTAACTCATAGCTTGGCAATCAAGCCTGTATTGTAACCACTTTCATGGTAAGTACCTCTGTGTGTCAGGAAGCTTATGTCTACATGACACTTTACATGACTGAACCTTGAGACCAATTGCTTCACCTTGTGCTCTTCAGGATATTCAGCCTGTCACTGAGTGCTACTCTGCTGAAGTTGCTTCCTTATCATTTCCTGGATGGGTGCTGGTGTGCAAAAGCATCTCATTATTTGTCTTTTGCTAGCAGCAGAAGAAACACCGTATCTGAACAAAAATAATGCAAAGACCATGCAGATAAGGAAATAAAATAAGGAAAAGAATATTAGAGATAGAAGTTATTATGTGACACATTGTAAAGAAGAAAAGTTATTATTTTCTTGAAACCGGAGAGAGGATTATCTGTTTACCTTTCTATTTCTGTTCTCATTGTTTTGAGCCAAAGTTCTTTTTGTTCCTTCAAATAATTTATCCATGTTTTTTCTTATTGTTTTCCAACAAATTTTTCCATATATCTTTTTAAATATACATTTCTTTAATGTCCTACACTATCAAAAAAATATTATCCAATTGTACTTCTTTTTTAAAAAAATTAATTGAACTGAAAACTTTATTAAACTTTAGAGAATTACAAAAACAAATGATAATTGTGTTACAGTTTATTCAAGAATAGGCAACGTGATACTCATGGACCCTAAATGGTGTGGACACTATCTTTGATTCCTCACAGGTTCTGTCTCCCAGTTAGACTTTTTTAAAAAGAAGTATTTAAAAATGTGCAAAATAGTAGCATGTTGTAACTCATAACATTAGTTTTCAGGATCATATTTATTTGTGGGAATGTTTGGGGTCTTCAAATGTTCTTCTAGGACACGAGTGTCAAACTCACCGCATCATACTGTCACGTGACGTTTCACAATGTTTTCCCCCCTTCGCAGAGCTGGGGTGGGCATGGCCTGAGCATGATGCATCTGGCCCATGGGCAGCCAGTTTGACACCCTGTTCTAGGATGACAGAAAACATTTTGGGCTACTTCCCCATCTGGTGGATAGGTATTCAGTGATTGACTAAACATATCATAGCAGCCAATTTGTAAATGGGCCAATTCTGAGTGAGCATTTATGTCTTGAAATGCATCCTCAGCCTTCCAGCTTAAGAAAAACCTGGCCACACTAAGATCCTTTGGCAGTAACCTGCAACCAATTCAGTTTGGATTCCAGCCTGTTGGACAATTGC